CTTTCTGAGAGGGAATGGGGGAGGGTTTTACTTCCCTGAGACAGGAAGCACAGGTGGCACATGATCCAGTGGCTTTGTGAAGGCCTCTCAGCTTTGATACAGAAAAGCAAAGTTCTGCAGTGCATGAACTCCTGCAGGAGAAGACCACGGCTTCCAGGCCAGCACGGGAGGGGCTTCTAAAAGAAAGCTGCCAGGAGAAGGGAGAAGTGAGGCCTAGCAGCCGCTGAGGTCTCTCTCCAGGCAGAGACTTACTCTGTAGCTTGTTTCTGTCCAAATCCTGGGATTTGCTTTATGACTTCTCCACCTGTAGCACAGTTCCTCAAAGTGGTAAGTTGTTACTGTTGTTGTTTTGTATTTTGTTTGTTTTGGTTTGAGTTTTTTGGTTTTGTGGTTTTGTTTCCCCTAGGGATATTTTCCCCTTTCTGGTGAGGTATATTTCCCAGCAGTTAAGGCAGAGACAAGGGACCTGTACTGCCACCTTAAAACAAACAAACAAACAACAAAAAACAAAACAAAAACAAAAACAACAAAAAAAACCTCCTTAATACTTTGTTTACATCCAGGCCAACACAAAAAAAGTTAGAAGAGTTCCTTATTTCTTCATCTGTAGTTGTCCAACCTCAGTCTGTGGTGGTTTGCTTACAGTGCTTTATGAATTATTAACTAGGAAAAAGGCCAGCTCTTGTCACGTTGATGCACATGACATGATGACGCCTGGGCAGAAAGAAAACAGAAAGTAAGTTTGTCCAGAGAACTTCCTTGTTGGATCACAGCACCCTCTTGAACTGGAAACACACCACACACACACACACACACACACACACACACACACACACACTTCCAAGTTTATCTCTGTTAGAATCTTACTCTAGGAAAACTCTGTGTCCTAGTAGTTTCAGTTAGGAGCAAAAGTTGGACAGCAAAGAGTTTCTGGGTTAGAGTAGGGCAGGGAGGGGAGGGAAGCGGCTCCATCTCGGCACAGGGCCCTAGGAGAGAACAGGAGGCTGCAATTCAGTGCACACCTCATAAATTCATATCAGAAAAATTAGAATATCAAGTTTTAAATAAGGATACAGAGGGCTGGGGAGATGACTCAGTAGTTAAGAGCACTTGCTGCTCTTCCAGGGGGTCCAAGTTTAGTTCTCAATGACCGAGGCAGGTGGCCCACAATAGCCTCTAACTTCAAGTCCAGGGGATCTGACACCCTCTTCTACCCTCGTCTAAATAAATAACATAAAACACAAAAAAATAAAGCCCATAAACCCCTATCTGGGAACAACTCCTTAGAACATATTCCTACTTGATTACTCAGTTTTGTTTGAGACAGAATCTTACTACATAGACCAGGCTAGCCTCAAATTCACCATCCTCCTGCCTCAGCCTCCCTTGTGTTGGACCAATATATCTATCTCTTATTCAGATATTTTTCTAAGCAGGTCTATAATACTTCTTTTTTTCTTTGTTTCTTTTCTATTGTTTGAAACAGGCCCCTTTTCACCCTGTAGCTCAGGCTGGCCTCGAATTTGGGAATTATCAGAAGATGGCATTGAATTTCTCATCTTCTCACCTAGCCCTGCAAAGTGTTGTGATTACAGGCACACGTTACCATTCCCAGATTTATACTTTTATTCTCCCAATAAAATTTAATGTCTACACTCAGCTAAAATGCTTATTAATACAAGTTGTTAAATATTCGTTATCTATCTTCATATACCACTCCCCTCCTTTTTGAGGCAAGGTCTCAGGTAGCCCAGGTTGGTCTTAAACTCACTATGTAATTAATAATAACCTTAAACCTCTGGTTCCCCTGCCACCACCAGCAGAGGGCTGGGATTATAGGATTCCAGGCGTGCATCACCGCTCCTGATTTATGCACATGCTGGGATCCAACTCAGAGCTTCTTGTAAGAGAGGAAAGCACTCCACCAACTGAGTTACATTCCCCAGTCCCTGAATCTCTTTTTTAATACATGAAAACTTATCTTTATCAGATCCTTTTTACTTGTAAAATATGTGTAACTTAAAATGCATCATTTTATGTATTTAAAATATACAGTTCAGTGGTGTTAAGTACATCTACACTGTTGCTGTTATTATCACTCATTGCTAAAACATATTAAAAAATAAAAAAAAGAACAAGAAAATATCTTTAAAGTCCCAAATGGATTTGGGGATGGGGATAGGAGCATCAGCCAAAAATTCCTGAAACTACTAAAATGGCAGAGCTGGAGATACAGCTGAGCAAATTGGTTCCCTGAAAAAGAATCTCCTTTAAATTTGGCAAAGACAGGCAAGGCTACTGAAAATCTTTGTGTAAGGAGCAAAGAGGTTTAACATACATAAATTGCACCAGAAGAGGGGGAAAATGTAAACACGGATCGTACATCCTGCCAATGTATTTTTTCAAGGAGTGAAAAGACAACATTTCTGAAATAATGAACATGTGTTTCCCCTCCACGGACTAAGACATTCCTAACGATGGAAACTAAGGTCTCAGGAACTCTGAGATGCAGCAAGGAGAGGAAGTTTTCCAGCATATTCAACCCACACCACTGAGCATCCTTCCAAACCCATGCTGATGAGAGGGGTGACTCGTTCCAACCAGCATCTGCTACGAACGCTTCCACTTCCGAAAAGAACTAGAAGCTGGGATTCAAATAGATTCTGTACACTAATGTTCACAGCACCATCATTTACAATGTTCAAAAGGAGAAAACCATCCAAATGCCCAGAATGGATGAATAGATACGGAGGTGTGGTATGCAGTGCGCTAGGATACTTTCAGCCTTTACAGATATTGTTTAACCTTAATAAAATTCAGAAACATCCCATAACATAATTTACCTTGAAGATGCTGTGTCTGAATCTGAATGAAGTAAACTAGTCATAGAAGATGGCATATGATTTTGTTTTGTTTTTGTTTTTGTTTTTTGAGACAGGGTTTCTCTGTGTAGCCCTGACTGTCCTGAACTTGCTCTGTGGACCAGGCTGGCCTAACTCTGCCTCCAAAGTATTGGGATTAATGGCGCATCTCTTTTATAAGGCATCTGAAGTATTCTTCTGTGAAGAATGGGGAGGGGGAAATGGTGGTCTTGTGGGCCCGGGAGGAAGGAATGGGGGTAACTATGACTGTTAGCTTGAGGCCGGATCTTCCTATGAAGGACTGAATGCTAGGGCTGACTCTCCAGTCACAACCATGCTACGGAGTGATAAAATATAGGGATCTGTCATCTACTTTAAATTCTTTTTAAAATTTAATTTGATTTTATGTTTTATCTGCATATAGTCTGTGCCCACAGAGGACACAAGAAGGTGTCAGATCCCCTGGAATTAGAGTTACATACAATTGTGTGCCCCCATGTGTGTACTGGGAATTGAGCCTGGGTCCTCTGGAAGACCAAGAGCTGCTCTTCACTGATGAGCCATCTCTCTAGCCCCTACCTTAAATTCATTTTTATTTATTTCTTTTTGAGACAAGGTTTTGCTATGTAGCTTAGCTGGCCTGGAACTCCTTGTGTAGACCTGCTTGCCTCTTCTTCTTGAGGGGCCAAAGGTGTGTGTCACCAGTCCTGTTACCCAATACTCTGACATTCTTGAGTCTTGAAAAGCCTTCAGCAAGAATATATGCTGTGCTTGCCCGAAGCATGAGTCAGACTATCTACTTGCCGAAGGTGTCACACAAAGGAAAGGGTGGGAAGCCCTTGGTCAGAGTTGCTGCTGTGGACATTGCAATGGCAGTAGCTCTATTGCAGGGTCAGCACACCTATCCTGATTGCAATGCCTTGGGATAGATCCTGGGCCTTCCAGCTCCATGGAGTAGTTCATAGATCAGACAATCCCTCTTTAGTAGCTGCTCTTGCTGAGCAGGAATTCAGAGAGAGAGGCCAGCGCATCACTGCATGCCTCATACCTCCGGCTGTACCACAGGTAGACTTATATAGCCCAGAGGCATTTGCAAAAATTAACTTGAGCTGGAGGGGGGAGGGGGAGAGGAGCCTGGTAGGCAAAGCTCTTATCATGCAAGCATGAGAACCTGAACTCATATCCCCACAACTCAAGTGACACTGGGGACAGTAACCCACTTCTGCCATCCCAGTGTTCCTACAGTAAGATGAGAGACAGGAGAATACTGGGACATTCACAGGCTAGATAGCATTATGCACACACAGCAGAGAACAAAATGACCCTATCTCAAACAAGGAGGAAGGTTAGGTCCAACACCAGAGGATATTCTCTGACCTGCGCACACACACACACACACACACACACACACACACGCCATGACATGCACCCCTCCCCCACATACATGGATGTGCACAAACATAAATAAATTTTAAGATAAATAAATAAGCCAAGCATGGTGATGTACACCTTTAATCCCAGCATTTAGCCAGGAGGCAGAGGCAGATGGCTCTCTGTGAGTCTGAGTCTATCTGGTCTGTATGATCGAGTTTCCAGACCAACCAGGGCTACATAGATTGACCCCATCTTCAAAAAAAAAAAAAAAAATAAATAAAAATAAAAAAATTCTTTTAAATAAATAAATATGGGCTAGCTTGGTGGAGCAGAGCTCGGTTCTAAACTATTTCCATGCTTACTTGGCCAAACTATTGAAACTGAAAGTACTTGGGTTTCCTCGTCTATAAAAAAGAAAATATGGTTAATCTAAGATTAAAGAAGCCAGTATGTGTACCTGGCCCAAGACAAACCTTACTAGGAGCATTGCTCCATGATTTTAGGAGAGCTGAACCTGGGACCATAAAATCCTCCTAATCTCCATCCTCCCTTCATCAAAATGTGGTTGGCAAGTGTTAGAGTTAAGGGAGACTGGCTGCTGTGGAGAGTCATCGTGGTGACTGGAAGGTCAGGACTCCTTTTGTGGCACACCCAGCGCCCAGTTACTTCTCAGGTAGAAGCAGTTTCAGGCAAGTGCACAGGAAGTAGCCCCAAGATTTTGCCTGCCCCACCCCAGGGGGCGGGATCGCAGAAGTGCCCTCGGTCTTTAAAAGGGAAGTTGTTTAGTCACTCATTCAAAGTCCGGGGGAGCGATGTGGGAAGCGGAATTTGGGGCCTGAACCTCCGTGCCTTGATTAGTTGGTTGCTCCCTTTGCAGACCCTGCCGTTCTCTCAGTCCAAACTCTCAGCCGTAGACGTCGTGGTTCCAGCTCTATCTGTACACACATAACTCCAGGAAGCCGCTAGCTCCCGATGTCTTCTGTCAAGTTATGGTGAGTAGGGAGTGAGCTGTGTCTCCGACACACCCACACAGGTTGCCCCGGGACACACTCAAAGGGCGCCTTTGAGGAGGCAGAGGACAAAGCTGGGGGTGAGGCGGGCAGCAGTGGGGAGGCTAGACACGCTGCCCACGCACAGTCACGGAATAGTGGAGCTTTGGGGACAGAGGATGCGCTGACCTGGAGATGGGCCCCCTACTGGATGAGAACCTTCTCTCAGGCACAATGGTGCGTCATCGGTCTCTCTGGTGAGCCATGAAGAACTGAAGAAACTGGAGTTTGTGGGCAAAGGAGGGTTCGGAGTCGTGTTCCGGGCACACCACAGAACATGGAACCTTGATGTAGCAGTCAAGATAGTGAACTCGTGAGTGACCCCAGCTGTAGGCAGAGTGTGGTCAAGAAATCTGAATGAGGTAAGGTTGGGATCTTCCAGAGCCCAGTCCAATTTTGGCCCCCTTTCGATGTGTAGGAAGAAGATAGCCAGGGAGGTGAAGGCTATGGTTAATCTTCGTAATGAGAACGTTCTGCTCCTGCTGGGGGTCACTGAGAACCTCCCGTGGGAATATATGTCCGGGCAGGGTCTGGTGACAAGATTCATGGAGAATGGCTCCATCGCAGGCCTGCTGCAACCCACATGCCCTCGGCCCTGGCCTCTCCTCTGTCGCCTGCTGCACGAAGTGGTGCTCGGGATGTGCTACCTACACAGTTTGGACCCTTTGCTCCTGCACAGGGACCTCAAGCCCTCCAATGTTCTGCTGGACCCAGAGCTCCATGCCAAGGTTAGTCCATCTACAGCCGAGTGAAGGCTTGGGACCATGATAAATACTCTCGACCTGTCTCCCTGAATACAAGACTACACAGGTGACAAGACCCAACTAGGAATTTTATTTCTAGTCATACCAGGTGACTCTCATTACCAGAGGACCCCCCTTACCCCCCCCTGGGTCAGTTCCACAGGCCTAACACCCCCATTCCCCCCCACCTCCCACCTCCCACCCCTACCGTGGACCCAGGCTTAGTTATTTCAGGCCTGCCACCCAGAAGCAACTCAGATCTCCTGCTAAGGTTTCAATGACGCTACCTTTCCTCCTCTGGTCCTCCATAGCACCCTCCAAAAAGCTAAGGCTGAATCTTCTGGGGCAAGAGAAGGAAAAAAAAATCTCTGGTCCCCTTCATCTAATACCTTCCTTTTCCTTTTCCTTTTCCTTTCCTTTGCAGCTAGCAGATTTTGGCCTGTCCACATTTCATGGAGGGTCACAGTCAGGGTCAGGATCAGGATCTAGGGACTCAGGGGGCACCCTAGCTTACTTGGCCCCAGAGCTGTTGGTTAATGTCAACGCGAAGGCTTCTAAAGCAAGTGATGTCTACAGGTAAACTATCCACCCCAAATATTTATACCTATTTGGGCCTTCGAAAGGGCATGATATGGGAAGGTAGGCTTGCCGGAGGCCCTCTAAGCCTCCACTTTGTGTCTGTGCAGCTTTGGGATCCTCATGTGGGCAGTGCTGGCTGGAAGAGACGCTGAGTGTAAGCTCTAAATGGACTCGTAGCTCAGGTGCCTGAAAGCACCTACAACTCCCCAGAGCCCTCCCTTTTACCCTGACCTACTAAGACTACCCTCTTTCCACCTCACCTCTTGCTTGGACTACTCTCCCTGCTTCTGTCTGTGATAGAATGGGGTGTCTCCCCATTTCATGAATTCCTTTTGTTATCCCCAACTCCAGTGGTAGACAATATCTCACTAGTCCGTGAAGCAGTATGTGACAGACAGAGGCGGCCACTACTGACAGAGCTGCCTCCAGACAGCCCTGAGACTCCTGGCTTGGACAGACAGAAAGAGTTAATGATGCATTGCTGGAGTTCTGAGCCCACAGACAGGCCATCCTTCCAGGGTGAGTTAGCTGTATCTCCGGCAACTAGGATAGGCTTGGGTCTTCAGCAGGGAGCTTTCCCAAGGAAAGCCGCCTGACTCATACACAACTTACTGTTGTCTTTCAGACTGCGAACCAAAAACCAATGAAGTTTTCAGTCTGGTAAAGGACAAGGTAGATGCTACTGTCTCTGAGGTGAGTTTCTAACGCTGCCTTCCCACCCAAGAACTGTTCAGGGATGGCACAATGGCTCCTTAACCATCCAGTTTATCTCCACTGGCCACCATTATTTAATACTTGACCGTTATTCCCATTCACCCAAACCTACTCCTTAGTCTCCAGAGACTACGAAAATATTCACTGGGGCTTACTCTGTCTGCCCCAGCTCCTGACAACAAGGTCCTCCTGTCTGTGCAGGTAAAGCATTATCTGTCTCAGCACAGAAGCAGAGACAGAAGGTTGTCTGCCAGAGAGCCAAGCCAAAGAGGCACAGAAATGGATTGCCCAAGGGACACCACAGTTTCTGAAATGCTGGACCACCTGCATTTGGAGGAGCCCTCTGGACCAGTTCCTGAAAAATGCATAAGCCTTTCTGAGAGAGCACAGGAAGCAGCAATTGGGCGTGCCACACCAGCAAGGACATCTTCTGACACAGTGGCTGGTACTCAACAAATTCCACATACTGCACCCTCCAGAGGCACAGCGCCTAGGCCGGTCTTTGCTGAGACTCCAGATCCTAACCCCCAACGGAATCAGGTGAGACGCTGACAAGACTAGAGCATGCTCTCTTACCAAGGAGAACTATGTGGTGATGAGGTTAGCCTCTTGAATAGAAAGTCTGAGAACTCTGTGTTGTTTGCAGGGAGATGGAAGACACGGCACTCCTTGGTACAGCTGGACCCCAGAGCCAAATCCAATGACAGGTACCCGTTCTCCATCCTCTGTTGCTCTCCCTGCTCAGCTCACCCGTCGCCCTCTCTCTTTCTCAGCACCAATCTACAGACTCCAGTTACTCTGGAGGTGGGAAGGAATGACTAGAGATCATCTAACCCAATCTGCCTCGTTTAATACGCGAGGAACATGACACCCACTAGGAGACGAGCCTACTGAGGTCACACAACAAAAGTCGGGAATGGCTGATTTTTCCCAGCACCAGGTCTATGAGCCCCCACAGTTCCTTTATTGCTAAGGCAGTCCAGAGAGTCTCCTCTCAAAGACACCCAAACAGCAGGTACTACTACTCCTTTGAATTCTGAAGAGACACGGCTCATACTGGGACACAGTTGCTAGCAGGTGAAGACCTTGCTTTTGCATCCCCAGGGTGAACACAAGGTTTCGCTGCCCCTCTCCCCAAAGTGTTTTTTTTTTTCCTTCGAGACAGGGTTTCTCTGTGTAGCCCTGGCTGTCCTGGAACTCACTCTGTAGACCAGGCTGGTCTCGAACTCAGAAATCCTCCTGCCTCTGCCTCCCCAGTGCTGGGATTAAAGACATGCACCACCACTGCCCGGCTCCCCAAAGTGTTTGTTAACCTCCTCTTTCTTAACCTCTAGACCCCTTCACCACCACCACCACCTCCTTTTCTTCTTAAAGGGTCTATTATCCTCAACCACTGTTCTGAAGTGCAGATTGGAAACAACAACTACTTCGCAGCACAACCCAAGAAGGACCCAGCACCGTTTGGCAGGGGTAGGGGCTGGTAGCCCTTCTACAAGCAGACTTCAGAGAATCCGTGCAAGAGCCTGCAGCCATAAATGTACCATTCAGTGAGCCAGTATAATTAGTGTGGGAATAAAAGCACTTTCTAAGCCACCTGGACTGGTTAAGACAATCAATCCTCGCCACCCTCCCGCACTTTGCAACATTCTTTGAGTACAGTTAGACATGCACCCAAACTGAATTTTAACTTAGCTCCAAAAAGTCAATAAACATAACATGGGTTTTGTTTGTTTGTTTAGGGGTTTTTTTTGTTTTGTTTTTTTTTTGAGACAGGGTTTCTCTGTCCTGGAACTCACTCTGTAGACCAGGCTGGCCTCGAACTCTCGAACTCAGAGATCCGCCTGCCTCTGCCTCCCAAGTGCTGGGATTAAAGGCATGTGCCACCACCGCCCGGCAAATGTAACATGTTAAGTATGGGTGAGTCTGAGACATCAATCCAGAGCATCAGGGATGGTCAGCCAGGAGCTGGCTATGGGGGTGGGGTGGGGTGGAGATGGTGCCACAGGAAAAGGGGATCTGGGGACTAGATATAGGCAACCTCCTGGCTCATAAGGTCAGGGTCCAGCTGTTGGCAGGAAGGAATCAGAGGCTTGGCTCTCTGATGCTCCAGACTCAGGGCGAGGTACTTCCTCCAGAGCTCAGGGCTGATACCACCCTAAGCCTAGACTGACAGGATAGAAGTTGGAGTCACACCACTCCCCTTTTCTCCTTGATTTTGAGCACTGGGCTTTGGGGCCCTGAAGGAGGGTGTCTGAGGAAATTCAGAGGCACTCCAGGCTCTTTAGACCACCAGAGTCCTGCTGCACAGACTTCATGCACCTTGCTTTCTAGGCATGGCAGCAGGGTTTTGGGTTTTTGTTTTTTGTTTTTTGTTTTGATTTGATTCTCCCTCTCCAAGAATTGATAACTATATCCAGCAAAGAGGGCACCAACCCAAGGAGCTGGAAATGGCCGGACAGTTGACACTTGGCCACACCAGAAGGACCAAGAGTGAAAGGGAAATGCCACTCCTGCCCTCACCCACATCCCGGCCCCAGCTGGTACCAGGACACCACTCCTCCCAGCTTTCTCCCAGGAGTTCCTTAGCCTCCCCACTTCCAAATGTTGTGTCCTTATCTTGACACATCCCTTTGAGTCCCCACCTCCCACTTCCACCCCTACCCAACTTCCCCCCCACCCCCGTTACCTCGTGTTTCTCCCACGGCCAACATGCTCTTCATTAAAGAAAGAGGAAAGGTGATGATTAGAGAACGCAATCTGGGCATGGGAAGCAGCCAGGGGAGTCCGGCTACAGAACGGGAAGGGGCCGGACTGTATCGTGGGGAAGTGGGAGGGGGCCTTGGCGCCAAGAGGGAAGTGCCAGTCGCCCGGCAGGTCCTGAGCCACTAGTAAAGCAGCGAGGGTGAATGGCAGCCAGCCCACCCAGGTTCCCTCCCGGGGCCTAGCTTTGCTGTGAGAACTTCAGGAGCTTAACACAAAGCAGTGAGTTGACGGTAGAGGGAGAGTCTGGGGCCTCTTCTCTTCAGCTCCGGCCAGGACACTAGCAAGGTATGGTTTGTGGGAAGGATAAAGAAGTCCTGTCACAGCTGGGAGCCCTATGAGAGAGCACCCAGCAGGGAACCCTATTGCTGTTGAAAGCTTAGTGACTTGGGTGAATGGCTCCGGGAGGAGTGGAAAGGCGCGGTGGTGGGACGGGATGGGTTATTAACTCAGCGCGACCTGTGGTCCCCAGGGCAGGGGCTCCCGGCTGGGGCGGGGGAGACCATGGCCCGCCTCTTCAGTCCCCGGCCTCCTCCCAGCGAAGATCTCTTCTACGAGACTTACTACAGCCTGAGCCAACAGTACCCACTGCTCATACTGCTTCTGGTCATTGTGCTCTGCGCGCTCGTGGCACTGCCTGCCGTCGCCTGGGCCAGCGGCAGGGTAAGATGGGCTAGCTGTGGGAGCCTGATCTAGGCAAGGGCTGCCTCGGGCTGGGGACATTTGAAGATCTGAGATTTGTGAGGTCTTTTAGTTAATAATGTTTTTGCTGGGAACAGAAAAAGAAGTGTTGAACCTCGTCGTGAATTGTGACTCTGGGTACATGTGACAGAGCTCTCTACCTTCTAAGCTTAGTCTCTGGGTCTATACTAGGACGTAAGTGAGACTCGAAGGCTTCTCACTGCGTTCTATTGGTTCTATAGTAAATCCAACACCGGATTTTCCATTTTTCCAGAGAGGAAACTCTACTCACGTCCCTAGGGAGATTCATTTCCTGACCTTTTCTCTCCAGATTTGGGAATGTGGGGCTGCTAGCTGTGCCCACAGACTTCCAAAAGATAGTTCTTGCCTTCCTCCACCATTTCTTTTTTTCATTTTCATTCTGGACAAGAAAGGGGAAATATTCTGCTCTGGATTTCCCTTTCACTCCTTGGAGGCAAGGTGGAGCCAATGACTGGGCACAGCTAATCCCTGTCTACCCCAAGTCCTGAAAGAGGAGGGACAAAGGGTAGGGTAGTACTGGGACTTACGGGCCAGAGAAAAGGCAGTACTCAGAACTCACAGCCAGGGTGATGAAGGGTTGCAGAAACTTGGGCTGCCCGGCTGTGAAGTTTATCAGCACGGCTTCAGGAGAAAGGGATTCTTTCTCCCAAGCAAATTAGCCATCTGGATGACATGCACTCTGAAAGCCAAGCAGATGCTACCGGACTCCTTTAACTGTGGGAAGAGCCAGGCAAGTGTAGAATCCCAGCACTTGAGAGATGGGGACAGGAGGACCAGGAGTTCAAATTCCTTAGTCACAGGGAGTTGGAGGTCAGCCCAAGCTACATGAGCCCCTGCCTCAAAACTAAACAAATAAACAAGCAAGGACACCTGGGATGTAGAAAGAATGGGGGAAGGGGACTTGCAAATAGCCAAGAGTAGCCAGGCCTTTTGGGTAGCTCTCCCTGGTCCCACTGCAATGTTTGAGATATATTAGGTGGAGCCAGGTGAGACCGATGACCTTTGAGGTTAAAACAGTAGGGTTTTAGAAATTTCTTTTGGTTTGATCTAATGTGAAACGCATGCGTCAGTGGTCCCTGTTTTCTTGAGTGTGTTTTTTCACTCGTTAATCTAGTTTTGTGTGTGTGTGTAAGTCAAAAGACAACTCAAAGGCATGAGTTCTCATCTTTCACCACATGGATTCTGGGAATTAAACCAGAACATCAGGTTTGGTGGCAAGCACCCTTACCCACTGTGCCGTCTCACCAGCACACATGCACATGTGTTTCGGACACTTTGCTGAGCTGATTTGAAGTGCACTTAGCTTGCTCCTTCTCACCTTGAGAGAACTTCAAAGCGTCTCCTCCCAGCCTGGCTTCAGATACCGTTTCTCCGCAGGAGCTGGCCTCGGACCCAAGCTTCCTGACAACTGTGCTGTGTGCTTTGGGGGGCTTCTCTCTGCTACTGGGGCTTGCTTCCAGGGAGCAGCAACTGCAGCGATGGACACGACCTCTTTCTGGCCTCATATGGGCTGCGTTGCTGGCTCTGGGCTATGGATTCCTGTTCACTGGGGGTGTGGTGAGCGCCTGGGACCAGGTGAGGAGACTCACAGCCAAGGGCTTGGGGGGAGGTGGACCTCAAACTTAGACCCTGTGCTGCACAACCTGGGCCTTCAGCTCCGCACACCCTTCTGCAGGTGTCTTTTTTCCTCTTCATCATCTTCACCGTGTATGCCATGCTCCCCTTGGGCATGCGGGATGCTGCTGCTGCGGGGGTCGTCTCATCCCTCTCGCACCTGCTGGTCCTTGGACTGTACCTTGGGTGGCAGCCTGAGTCTCAGAGGGCTCTGCTACCACAGGTAAAAATGCAAGTGGTGCAGGTAGTGTGCCCAGAGCTGGCTCAGTTGCTTGATAATGCTGTGAGCATTTGCTGAGCTGAGACTTGAAGGCAGGGCTCAACCCTCACGTGAAGGATCCCAGCACAGATAAACCTCCCTATAGCGACCTCTTGTGTCCGGGCTACATCAGTGCACCATTCCTGCCTTAGCCAGAAGAGGGCACTATAGCCATGGGGAATTCAGCCAAGATTCTCTCGCAGGTACAGAAGTAAAACCTGGAGTATTCATGGGAAATGCTCGTGAATCAGAACTGGGGTAGTTTCTTGCAGCTGGAATGGGCTCAGATGAATATGGAGGAATAGCATTCTAGGCAGGGGAACTATACATGCAAGATAGCTAGGCCTAAGTGGCCAGGTTGGCCCCACAGCCAAGAGTCTACAGCAGAGAGCACAGAGGAGGAAAACGATCAACTCTCCCAGATGGATGACATAGAGTGGCTCTGATTGTTCTGAGATACCCAGGTCCTTAACTGTAGAGCCAGGCTCTCCTCATCCTGTTCTTGGAACCAATTCCAACTACACAGATAGACTCCCCCAACCCACTAGGGTGTGTGTGTGGGGGGGAGCGGTACACTTTCTAAGCCTGGCCTTTGCCCACAGTTGGCAGCAAACGCGGTGTTGTTCCTGTGTGGGAACGTGGTGGGAGCATACCACAAGGCCCTGATGGAGCGAGCATTGCGAGCCACGTTCCGGGAGGCTCTTAGCTCTCTGCACTCACGCCGGAGGCTGGACACTGAGAAAAAGCACCAGGTCAGTGGGACCTAAGTGGCAGGAATGGACAGCAGCTCAGAACGAATAGCTTTTTAACGCCTTCATTCTGAGTGGCTCTGGGTAATTAATTATTTGCCTTCCACAAGTATTTTCCTCCTTTATATTGCCGCCCGTGGAAGATTGTTGCTAGGTACCAGTTGAAACAGTGAGATAGCTGAGGGTAAGGCCCTCCATGCACAAGCCTGATGAGGTGAGTTCAGTTCCTAGAACCTAAGTAAAGGTAGATGGAGACAAGGGAC